CACTACCACTACCACTACCACTACCACTACCACTACCACTACCACTACCGCTGCTCTTCCTGCCGCGTTGCTCCTGCTGCTGCTGCTGCTGCTGCTGCTGCTGCTGCTGCTGCTGCTGGTGTTGCTGCTGCTGCTGGTGCTGCGCTGCTGGAGCTGCTGGTGCTGGTGCTGGTGCTGGTGCCGGTGCCGGTGCTGGTGCTGGTGCTTGTGCTGGTGGTGCTGCTGTTGCTGCGGCTGCTGCTGCTGCTGCTGGTGGTGCTGCTGCTGCTGCTGCTGCTGCTGCTGCTTTACTTTGCGCCTGCTGCTACAACAACAACAACTACTACTGCCACTCCTCCTTTTGCTGCTGCTGCTGCTTATGTTATCGGTACTGTACAAGTGCTGCGATTAGAATGATTAGAACTCCTGCCACTGAATCAACTGGGGTTCAGTGCTTCTACAGCTGCTACGCGATGCTACCGCTGTTGCTACAGCTACACTGTGAAAGCTTCGGAACTGACCTCGGCTCGCAACTGGCGGTCCTGTTGCCGGTCCCCATGATCCCCAGGAAAAGGCCGAAAAGGCACAGCGAGAAAAAGAAGCTGCCGAAAAGAAGGCGACAGAAAGCGATAGTTCGGCAGAAAGCTGAGAGCGCGAACTCTTCGTTCGGGGTTGGCGCAGATGGCTACAGTGAGGATTTGAGCCTGGGTTCAAAAATGACAGATAAGCCTAGCCTTGTTTCCTGGCTCAGCTTTCACATCGATTTCGTACCGCTGCTGCTGCTGCTGCTGTTGCTGCTGGCCTTCTAGGTCGGGCCTTGCCCAACCACTTTTCCTCGTCAGAAGAGTGATAAACACCGGCAAGATATATGTGGGCCTCCTGTGGTAGCACATGCTTGCGCACGGTAGAGCTGCTGCATCAGGCCAAGCAGGCGAAGAAAGATGCCGAGAAGAGCACGCCCAAGTTGCTTATCACATTCAAGTCTCCGGATGGCAGCCCGACGTCAGAATTTCATCGGCTTCAGGGCTCAGACCGCCGAGGCATTGCTTTGGCGTACAGACGTTTGTCTACGTCCAGAGCACACCACAGTTTACAGCAGGGTGGGGAGGTTTCTTCAGCGCGGTCACAACAAGCTGGTTTCCAAGTTTCAGCTCTCCCTCGGTTCCGCTCAGTACACCCACAGGCAGGGACAACAAGACAGTCACCTTTACCAGGCGGCCACTTGGGGCTCTTTGGCGGCACTTCCTTGAAGGATTCAGCATAGGGTGTGGGTCTTAGGTCGAGGTCAACTAGAACCTCAGTAGCTACATACTGCCTGGGCTGGGTGTGAAGTATCAAATTTATCTCGACGGCGAGTGCATCAGGTGGAGGGAAGGATCGAGCCACATGTCTGCGTCTTTGGTCGCCAGGGTTTTGACTTTTTGTGTTTTGCGGTGCAGATGGAGTAGAGCATCTGTGCGTGGCGCTCACATATCTTGAACCTCGAGGCCCTGTAAGCCGGCTTTCGCCGCATGGCGCTGAACCACGTGACATCCCTGACATCGACACGAGATCCAAACTCTTGACGCGTAATGCTTTGAAGAAAAGTTTTGTCCACTCCCCTCCTGCATGTGCCAGGTGTCCTGCAGCATGGACTCGATGCCAATCGTGGTGGGCGAGAAACCTGCGCCTTGGCCACGCAGTTCAGAGTTGGGAGGGTTTTGCGAGATATAGGGTTTTCGAATTCTAGGATGAGGCTTTGGCGCTGGAGTCTGGAGCTTGGCTGGAGGGATTCAGGGCTTGGCGTATTGCGCTCCCTGCTCAAAAAAAGCTTCGGTTTAAGGACGGATGCGCACTTTCGAATTCTAGGCATCCTTCACTATAAACTAAAGCCAAGAGGGTTTTCTGCTGCCCAGGGTTTCCGAAGAAGGATAAGTCTCCGATCCCAGCTTCCTTGTCAGCCTTTCCCGGTGGCAGGAGCAAACCCTCCTGCCGAAACAGATTAAAACAGCATCCTGGCCGTTGTCGAAGCCCAGGCCAGAAGCGGATTTTTATCCGACCTGGGCCAACCCCCAAAGCGGAAAGGCCTAAACCCACAGCTTTCATCCCAATCACACCGAACAGTCCCTGCCTGCCCAGTCCAAGCCCTGTGCCCGAAGCGTCTCGTCGTGTTAGGTCGGCGAGGCCGCGGAAGCTGGGATCGCGGAGGGCTGGATACTCTGCCAGGCCAGGCAAATATTCGCCTCCAGTCCGAAGGTCTTCTTCGCAGTGTGGTGAGCTGTACCTTGCGTGTTCGAGGTTGCCGATTCGGAACAATGCCTCAGGACAGAATGGTCGATGGGATATATCGGATCAAGAAGCAAACGGCATAAAGTTCGGTCTTAGCTATGCGCGGAGTCTCTGCGGCTCCGGCTGCAGTAGGTGCGGGGCACGTCAGTGTGTGGGAGTTGTTCAAAGATGCCGGCCTGTGTCAAAGCCTGAGTATACGCACACGCAAGTATGCATCTAGCCATTAGGTAGTCTGTTGGACTATCGGAACTTGAAACTCCAGAACAGGAAGCAAAGTCCTTTACAACTGGTCGTGGTAGACACAGATACATCCTAGCAAAATCCTAGCTCTAAGCAGTCGTTCGTGTTCAGGGCCATCAACTCCTACGACCCTGTCGTTCTAGAACCCTCGGTCCTGACCCATTTCCTGAGCCCCTAAGCCCACACGCCTGCCCCTTTCTTCAAGTTTCAGCCTCAAAGTTTTCGATGTTTAGAATTCAGGATCCCTCACAACTAACTGACGTCCATCTGGCAGGAGGGCTGTTCCACAATGGTGACATTCCTGTTAGTTTATCTGACCTCAAGCTGTCCCCCTCATGCCCTCGAAGGTGGGCGCGGACCCATCGAACATGCGGACCGCAGGGCCGCACTTGGCTTCTTCCTGCCGTAGGGCCAGGGCATGTGGGTTCTGTTGTTCCGAAGTCTTGAGGCTTAGGAGAGAGACAGGGGGAGCGAGAGAGAGGGAGAGAGAGAGTTGTGTAGGGGGTTTCCCCCTGCATCATAGCCCTGGCGAAAGAAAGAGAGAGTTGTGTTTGACTGTGCAACTCCCGGGGGGGGATCCTGGCAGGTGCATTTGGGGCGCTG